ATGACTCCGTGCGCAGGGCCAGCCTGCAGGAGGTGCTGGCGGCCAGCGCGTACCTGCTGTTCTACGAGCGCGTCCACGGCCGCGCCCCGCAGCGCGGCCCCGAGGAGTGACCCCGAGCCGGGACTGCACCTCGCTCAGACTCCTCCCAGCTCCACGTGGCGCCTGTCCTGCGAACACCCCTTCATCCGAGGTCCCCCCTTCCCCGGGAGTTGTGTTTTGTACCAAAAGCCGCGGCCCCAAAGCGTGTGTTAGAGAAGCGTTTGTCGTGCCGGTGATTCTTGTCATCTCAGGCTTCCCGAGGCTGTGTCCCGTGTCCTGACATGGCAGTTTTCCAAGGGAGATGCTCAGTCCTCCACATTTCACTGCAGGTGTTTCGGAAGGGGGAGCCCTGGGAGGGGTTGGTGGGAAGCTGCTGTAGGCAAAGGCAATGATTTAAGAAACCAAGTGCCTTGAGCTTCCTTGAACAGCTGCATTGCCACTGTCTGAGCCCACTGCATGTCCACTGTGTCCTGGGAATGCCCCACCACCATGGGATGAACCAGTGGAATCAGATTTCCCTTGATATCCCAGCTAATCAATCTATCAAGTCAGGCATCTCCACAAACAGCCACAATCCAAAAATTTCCCTGTTCACATAATTTTCCTCACTACTTTAGTTAGCTGTGCATCACAGAAGTCCTTCTGCTGATTCCAAGTGCAGTTTCCTTTTCCCTGGAGATAATTTTTTTCTCTATTAAGAGCTGAAACCTTAATTTATTGCTCCCTCCCTTTAGAATATAGCTGGAATCAGCACACAGACATGTTTGCTAGTGATCAGTATTGTCATTTCCTTCAGCACTGTTGAATACCATTGCTTGTAGCATCGACTACAATTTTAATGCTGTGATTTCCAAGCTGCTGTAAGTGTTCTAGACTTGCCCTTCCCATTTTAGTGCTGGAAACTGCCATTTCCCACCCCTGGGCTGGGCTTGGACTGGCTGGGAATGGGAGCTGAGCTGAGCCCTTGTCTTTGTTAAGTGGAATATCAACAATAGGATCAGCACTGGTAGGCACTTACTGGTCTTGTGAAGCCAGCCTGGGAACACTGATGTCACTGCACCAGCTCCAGGTTGGCCTGTAAATAGAAATAAGGTGAATGCTGCTGCTCTAGACTAATGTGCAAAAAAATCAACAAAACAACAAACAAAAACCCAAACAAAGCAAGGAAGGAGAAGCAGCAAAAATTCTCCTTTAAAATTCTCCTGCTTTTCAATCACCAGGAATAAAGTATGTAGGTTATTTTTAGCTCTTTTCTACCCTTGTAAGCTTGGAGGAGAAAACCACTCATCAAAGCTTTTTCAGTGTGAAACAGCAGCTTAAGTTTTCAAATAACAACTGTCTTAATAGTTTTTTTAGGGCAACTTTGTACCTCATGTGTTCATATTGCTGCCCAAAGCTCGGAGGTGTTTGGAGTTCCTCATAGGAGGCTCCAAACCAGCCAAAGCCGGAGTGGTAATGGATGGATATGCAAAACTCTTTACACAACTCATCATTCCAGAGTATGGAGCACAATTCCTGTTCCAGGTAATGCTCATAGTACATAAATAGCGATAAATCCACTGCTGTACTAGTTCTGGGAAGTCTCCCTGGCTGTGCTAGGCTAGAGTAGCTTGGTTTTAACCTGTTTTAATTTATAGAAAAACAACAAGAAAGCAAACAAAAATAACCTTGAAGGATGCAAAATGCCAAAAAAATTGCCCTGGCCACTGAAGTGAGAGCTGAGAGAGATGGAGAAGGAGCCAGCCCTCCAGAGTGGGAGCACTGGGGTGCAGCAGGAGCTCTGTGAAGCAGTGCTGGGGATCATCTAAAACCATCACACAAAACCTCCCCCTCCAGCAGGTCGACCATTGTACCTCAGAACTCCAACCATTTCCACTGCCAGGAGTGTATATCTTGCAATATCCATTCTCAACACTCTGTTTAGAGGTTTTATCTGCATTTTGGAGTCCAGCTGAGCAGACATTTGGTTTAGAACACAGTCGAGCTGGAAGCAGGGCAGAGGATACGCACACGATGGGCTGTGTCTTGGATTTGTCAGGACAGGGACATAAAGTCACCTCTTACTGCACAGTCCATGTATTTTCTCTTGCAAAGAGCTGCATTTCCCTCAGCTGTGGGTTGTTGACTCTGGAAGCTCCCTCAAGGGCTATCAAGGGGAGGGTTGAGTGGTCAGCATTTGTTCCAGCTTTCTCTGTTAGGAAGGAGGAGATGGAGCAAATATCAGCACCTTAGTCCTGGTCCTGAGCTGTGCAAGTTGTTTGTGAGCCAACCCTCCCCTCTGAGGTCACAGGGCTCTGTGGAGGCCCAAGGCTCAAACCCTGTTACTTGTCACAAGCTGCCATGGTGGAGAACTTGTTAATAAAATGTAAAAAAAAAAAAATAAGAGCCTCCAGGATGCCATCTGTGTGTTTGGGTTATCCTTGTCTCATTTTGTGTGTTATTTAAAAACGTATATTCCAGTCAAACCACTGCACTGCTGTTTGAAGTTGCGTTTTCACTTCAGGGTATTTTTGTAACTGTACAGTAGCAATAAAAAACCAAACTTATTACAAAAGTCACCTGTGTGGGAATTGAAATTACGTGTGGGAATGTCTTGGAACATAATGGAGCCACACTGAAGGCCAGAGCCCGCCCCTAATTCCAGGGTTAACACGGGAATTTCAGCAGCAGAGGAATTCAAGCGGACAAGAGTCACACTCAGCCAGCCACACTGCACTCACTGTGCTCACACCTTAGCACTCCTCCATGTCAGTCTCATTTGTACTTTATTTAAATAAAAAACCAAACAAACTAAAGCTCATTGAGAGAGAATACAGGAAAGTGTCGCGTGCTGAAGAGTATCAGCTTTAAATGATTCCAGCTTGTGATTTATAGTGTTTGTACCTCGAGGCTATGGAGTATTTTGATTTTTTACGAGCACGAATTAGATAAAGATCAGCTGAGAACAAACTTCGTTCTGAGCAAAACAAGGGTATTGTTTATCAAAACTATTTATCAGCAGCATTTCACAGAGGGGGAAAGCCACCTTGACATGGAGATCAGAGGTCACAGGCTTTATTAGCAGTTACCAAGTCCACCATCTCTCTCAGTTCAATTTGCTCATCCAGTCCCTTGGATCACCACAGCCAGTGTTTGAACGAGGAGCCAACAGGTCCATCAGGAACTAAAGCTGTTTTCAGTCAGAAGTCCCTGATGGGTGGACTTTCTGTCCCCAGCCATGACTTTCCTGAAGGTGAGGTTGACCCTGGGGGTGATGACCCTCCTCCTGGGGGGCAGGCTGTGGTACCAGTACACGTTGGTGGGGTAGTTCATCATGAGGAGGCTGCCGTGGGCCAGCTCCAGCTTGATCCGCTCCAGGCCCCGTTTCGCCCCCTTCCTCCTGCAATCCCTGTGCCGGAAGATGAAGTCCCTGCACGCTCCGAAGGACACGGATGCAATGGGGCTGCGGGGAACCAGCTCCCTCTCATCGTCTCGGTGCTCCCCGATGTGGTCCAGGCCATCTTTGTACCTGTGCACAGGGCACACTCGTTAGTTCCACCAACCCCACTAAGTGAATGCCAGCCCTTCAGCCATTTGCCAAGTGCCGCACAAGCTTTTTTCCTTTCATCTGAACCACAAAAAGCTGCTTGATGCAACAGCTGTACCTGTTGATAACGACAAAGTTAAAGGTGTGTCCTGTGGCCTGAGTGACTCGCTCCCGGATGCGGTTCAGGACTGGGATCCATGGCTTGGGATGGAAGGTCACACCTGAGTAAGTGTAGGACAACTCAGGGTCTCCATAGGTCACCTGCTGCCTTGGGATGTTGTGCCACGTGCCAAATATGTGCAATTTTGTCAGGTCACCTGTTTAAACAAGAAACGAGAAGGATCAAAACCAAACCCAAGTCTGTGTTACCTCTGCACAGTCCTACATTCTCCTGGATCTGCAGCTTCTGGGAATCTCCAGACAAGAGAAATGAGGATGCTTATGATAACCCACAAGCTGTCATCCCTGTTCCCCATGTTTCTGTCCTGACAAGGTGGACACTGCCTTGTTGTCCCCCTTAAATGGGATAAACAGAACCAACATCCCCATCACATTCTGCTGTTGAATTAATGTAATAGCACATTTCATGCACTGCCTCTTCCAGCAAACTCCAGCCACCACAGCAGGTTTATCCCAGTTCTCTTAAAACATCACTGAAACCACTTGACAAATGCTTCCAGTGGAGCAAATCCAACTCTGCAGGGTCACACCTGCATTCTTGGCTTCTCAGGGCCAGATTGTGCCAACACCAGGTGCCTGCAGAACACTCCCCAGCTGTGCCCAGGCCCTGGGATCGCTCCGGGACTCACCTTGGGTGGGCTGGGCAGGGAAATGCTTCCCTGGGCAGGGTGGGGGGACGTATGGGGGGCCCAGAGGCGGACACAGAAGGGCTCAGGTTGGAAGGGAGCACTGGAGCTCATCCAGGCCACCCTCAGGTCTCCCAGAGACATCCCTAGGGACGGAGCCTCCGGAGCCTCCCAGGGCAGCTGAGGCTCCCCCGCAGGGGAGGAGGTTACCTTCGAAATACTGCACCTCCTCCTCCAGCTGCTGGAAGATCTCGTCGGCCTCGGCCTTGGGGAAGAGGATGCGATAGTCACAGCACAGCCCCTCGGCGCGGATCTGCCGCGGGGGAGGCCGGCCTGGCCCGGCCTCCTCGGGCCGCCGGCCCTGCCCACCCCCCGCCTGCCCGCGGGGCACCCTAATCACAAACCCGTCCATGGGCGACACCGGGAACAACGTCCCGAGGGAATGACGGAAAAACCGGGATTAACGTCACGAGGATGGCTCCGCCCCCTGCCCCCGCCGGCCCCGCCCCCAGCGCACGCGCGCTGTTTTGGCGCCAAACCGCCGTCCCGCCCTCTCCCGTCGGAGCCGCCGCTGCTGCCCCTCAGTCATTCATTCATTGCCTCCCTCCCTGCCCCGCTCCTGCGCTGCCATGATCGGCCAGAGGACGCTGCACTGCTTCTTCAGCCCCGCGCCGCCCAAGAAGCGCGCCCGGTCCCCGGAGCCGGGAGGAGATGCTGAGGTAGCGAGCGGTGGTCTGGGGGTGCCGGGGAAGGGGAGAGGGGACAGGGGTCTGGCAGCGGCGGAGGAGGTCTGTCTGGCCATATATATATTTGTGTGTGTGTGTGCGTATTTGTGTTTTGGGGGGTCTGGCGGCCTTTTGTGCGGGGGGTGTGAGGAGTAAACACCACTTCCAAATTCCCGCGCGGCTGCACGCGCGACTGAGCTGCCAGTCAAGCGGCCACGCTCCGCCGCCGCCCAATGGACGCCGAAAGGCGCGCCACCGTCACGGTTGCTGGGTAGGAAACCTCTCCGCACGCCGAGATGAGCCAATGGGGAGGAGCGGGCGCTTTCCCGCCGGCCAATAGCGAGCGGGAGCTTTTTGGCTCGCGCCTGTGGGCGGGGCGCGCGCGGCTCGGCGGCCAATGGGCGCGCGCTCGGGGTTTTGCCGCGAACGCTCCGCGTGCGGCGGCGCCGCCCCGGGGCGGGGCCTGTCCGGCCATGGTGGCGCTGATTTCGCTGCTGCGGCCGCGCCCGCTGCTCTCCCACATCCCCCGCGCCCGCTGCTTCCAGGTGAGCGCCGCCAAGAAGGCCAAGGGAGATGAGGCGGGCGCGGCGCCGTCGCTGTCGCTGAGCGAGGAGCAGCAGGAGCGCATCCGCAAGAACAAGGAGGCGGCGCGGCGGCTGCTGGCGCAGCGGAACGTGCCCCCGGGCTTCGCGGACAGCTGGCGGCGGCAGCTGGCAGGGGAGTTCTCCAAGCCGTACTTCGTGGACGTGAGTGAGCGGCCCCCGTGCCCCTCCCCGAGCGGGCGCTGCGCCCTCTCGGCCCCCGCTGAGCCGTTCTTTGTCCCCGCAGCTCATGGCGTTCGTGGCCGAGGAGAGGAAGCGCTACACGGTGTATCCGCCCCCCGAGCAGGTCTTCACCTGGACGCAGATGTGCGACATCTGGGATGTGAGTGAAGCTGCAGGGCTTGGGGAGGGGGGATCGTGGTCTCTCACCGTGAAAATGCAGGTTGGGTGCACAGGCACTTGTGTTCAGTGGTTTTTCCCTTAAACTTCAGTCCCACGGGATATGGATGTTGTTGTTTGTCTCACCTAGCTCACAGATTCTGCCTTCCCTTTCATCTCTGATACCAAAACAGGGTTTTATTGTTTTATTGTCCTTACAGGCCACAGAATTTCCTTTGAACGCCTAGGTGAACTTTTGATCTTTTTTCTAGTCTTACCAGCTTTATCTACTTCAGAGTTTTTGCATCTTGTATGTCCTTTGTTCTTTTAATTAATCTGTAATTAACTATAATTAAAAGCAGACATCGTATGATAATGTCATTTCTAATAAACTGTGTCAAAAATGTCACAGCAAAGATGGCATAAAGCTAAAATAGGATGAAACCTATTTGGAAAATATCTCAACAGGGTATTTTATTGTGGCTCTGAAAACATTGGTCTTCTGCACTCAAATCATATTAATTGTATTCGTAATTTTAGCAGCAAAGCTGTGGTGATATTAATCCTTGGTGTTAGGTGGCGTCTGTGCTCTTTAACTTGTTAATAATGAGATGTCTTGGATTAACTTCAGTTCCTGAGGGGATTGGGATTGGTTTGGCTCTTTTTTATGCCTCTCTTTTAAGATAAAGCTCATTTATAAGCCTTTTTTCCTGTTCTTTTGTGAATAAAGCTGATTTCAATTCAGTGCTAACCAAGGTCTGCTTTCAGGTGAAGGTTGTAATTCTGGGACAAGATCCATACCATGGCCCTAACCAAGCTCATGGGCTCTGCTTCAGTGTCCAGAAACCTGTTCCACCTCCCCCCAGGTAGGACAATTAGCAAAATCCCTTTTGGCCACAAATTATTTGCAGTTCTGTGTTGCTCAGGGCTGGGAGCCAGAAAATTAATGTGAAGAGTTGTGCAGCTACTTAAAATTGAATTGTGCATTGGCTGGAAGAAAACATCACTGCAAATATATAGCTAATTCTGTATAATTTGGTGATATTCTGGATGTAAGTTTGCATTTCTAGTTGTGCTGAGACCTCCTTAAGATTCCAGCCAGCCACACAAAGGGAGTCCTCACTGCCCTGCCTCTGCAAATGACCTTATTATCTTAAGTAATAAGATTAAAATCAATACCTTCTTGCCTGGTGTAAGAGCAATAAGTGGTGCTGCTTGGTCTTGTCTTTAAATATGAACATTAAGAAAACTTAATGGTGTTTTTTGTTTGCAGTTTGGAAAATATTTACAGGGAGCTCTCTACAGACATCGAGGGCTTCACTCATCCTGGCCATGGGGATCTGACAGGCTGGGCCAAGCAAGGTGAGCTCAGAGGCACTCAATAATCTGGTCACTGGGAAGCAGAAAAAAAAAACAGTCTAGAAAACAGACCTGTGGCTGGAAATGATCCATTTGTAGGACAGAACATCAGTACCTGTTGTTTGGCAAGTCCCTTAGAATGAAAATTGAGTGTGTTTCTGAAGGGAAACTGGAAAAATCAGTTAGAATTCTAAAATCCTGGAATGGTTTGTTTTGGAAGGGATTTAAAGCTCCATGCCCTGCCATGGGCAGGGACACCTTCCACTTGACCATCTTGTTCCAAGCCCTGTCCAACCTGGCCTTGGACACTTCTCATGGGTGGAGCAGTCACAGCTTCTCTGGGCAACCTATGCCAGTTCCATCTTCCCACCTCTCCAGGTCCCTCTGGATCCATCCCTTCCCTCTAGGATGTGACCCCACAACACAGCTCAGTGTCATCAGCACTTGCTGAGGGTGCCTTCCATCTAACCTGGCCTTGCACACTTCCAGGGCTGGATTAACACTTGATTTTTTGTTTCCCCCTCTGTCCACATGGTGTATTTCCCAGGAGTGCTCCTGCTCAATGCTGTGCTCACTGTGAGGGCTCACCAGGCCACGTCCCACAGGGAGCGGGGCTGGGAGCAGTTCACGGACGTCGTGGTGTCCTGGCTCAACAAGAACCTGAACGGGCTCGTGTTCATGCTGTGGGGAGCCTATGCCCAGAGGAAGGGCAGCTCCATCGACAGGGTACAGCCTTTCCTTCTCCCTGATTTTTCCCTCAGTTTGGTGGACACTAGAGGGCACCTGCCTTACAGGACTGGGAATTTTCCCTGCCTGAACTCCGTGAATTGAGTGGCCCTTCTGCTCCAGCTTAGCCTTTTCCAGAATTGAGCAAGCAAACTGGAGCAAGTGTAACCTCCTGTTGTCAGCAAAGTGTCCCATTGGGGACAGAGCTGTTTTTCCTAGGAAAAGGCTCATGAATCTGCATAAAATTTGCTGTTGGGAAATGACTGGGGCATTTTTGCTTTACACAGTCCATCTCTGCTCAGTGGGACAGAAGTCTCAGCCTCCACGACTGGTTCTTTGGGTCTCAGGCTGGTATTGGAGGAGGTGTAGAGGGGAAGTCACATGTGGGTGGTGCAGGTGGAGGGGAAATCACATCTGCCTGGGGCAGGAAATCACATCTGCCCGGGGCAGGAGCAGCCGAAAACATGCAAATCTAACGGGCGGTTTCCTCCAACGTTTTCAGAAGCGCCACCATGTCCTGCAGACGGTTCATCCCTCGCCCCTCTCAGCCAACAGAGGGTTTTTCGGCTGCCAGCACTTCTCCAAGACAAATGAATTCCTCAAGAAATCTGGGAAGAAGCCCATCGACTGGAAAGCACTCTGAACCACCTCCTGGGTGTCAGGATTTGGGTGCAGCCCCTGTGTCAGGGGTTGGCTCATTTCTGACAAACTTCTGCTGACCTGAGAATTGTTCTTTGGGTGTTGATCAATGAACAAATGCCTAAACTTTCATTTTATATATATATTCTAAAATGTTTATTTTTCAAGAGCATGTTGGAGTCTTCGATGGACAACTCTGCTCTTGGAGCTGGTCTCAGCTTCATTTGGAGCAAAAAAATCTCTATAAACACCAGACTTCTTTGTCAATTTGTGGTTGTTGTAATGGGAATATTTTTTCAGGCTCTGGTGAAGGGATGTCAGTTCTTACAGGTGAAGCTGCTCAACTTTTGTACGTGCCTGGCTGCCTCCTGCCTCTTTGTCTCCTCCCAGGCAGATCCAGGTTTCCTATTTGGGCATTTGGAGCTGACTCCCTGGGAGGAAAAGAAAGATGCTCTTGGTTTTAGCTTTTTTTTTTACAGATTTATTACAAAAATGGCCTCTTGGGGCTGTAAAGACAATACACTGTCAGGAGTGTTACTTGGTGTATCCATGCTATAAAGATTTTGGGATAAATCCTCCCAGCAGCCAAGGGAAGGCTGTGACCAAGGCTCTGGTCATGCTTTTGAGTTTTTTGTTGGCATCTAGAGAGGAAAACCGGTTTTTAGGTTCTTCCTTGGTGTGCAGATCACCTGGATGATGGTGAGCTGTGCTGACCATGAACCTGGGGGTACCTGCTGATGGCAGCAGCAAAGGTTTGTTCATCAACATCTCCCAGCTGATGGGCTGATAGTTTCAAATTATTTCAGATATTTCAAAGTCTTAAAGGGAACTTTGTGTTTTGCCACCTTAGGAGCAAATTAAAGTTTCCACTACTGGTAGCAATAACTACTGGGACTTCCAGGATGAAGTGTTGGACTTCACAGTCCTGGGTTTCCAGCCTCGTCTTTGACTTTGTAGTTCCTTTAATGGAAGTGAAGTGCCCTTTTTGTTTGGAAATTACAATAGTTTTTATAGAGTGTCCCTGTAAACCTTATTTTGGTATTTGCTCTGAGCTAACACTATCAGTGGTGAAGTTTACCCTGTCTGTGGCCTTGCTGTATATTTTGTTTGCTTGTTTTTTTTCACCAGTTTGTTTTTTTTTAAATAAAAATGACGTTGTTTATGTGGTCTTACGTTGAGGAGGAACAACAACACAGGGAGGGAGGGGAGGCTCTGGTTCTTTAGTGGGTGGAAGGGGGGGATCCCTGTTCCCCTCAGGGAGAGAAACACAGGAGCTTGTCCTTTTCCTCATCCCCGTGACCAGGCACAGGGCCAGGGCACCTTTGTCCCCCAAGGATCGGGTGTCCCGGGCCCGCCCTCCCTCTTTCCTTCCACCCTCATCTCCAGCAGAAGTTTTCCAGACACGTTAGCGGGGAAATATTTGTGCTTGACGTGACCGTCACGTGTGAGAGGCCACTGGAACACCCCGGGGGGGGGCCTGGGCTGTGCTTCCCCCTGCGGGGTGGCTCTGGCAGTGGGTTGGATTTGGGACAGATGGGCACAGGGAGTGATCCCTGAGAGCAGCGTGACCGGGAGAGCAGCTGGAATTGTCGGTGTTGGCGTGAGGGGACATGCGGGTCGGCACCGATGGTGAGTGACCTTCCTCGGGGCTTGGGGCCGTGGTGATTTTCCCTCCCTGCCATCCCCGGTTTGATGGGAGTAATCGACCCCACTTGTAGAGATTTGTGGGTTCCATTAAGGCCCCCCTGTCTCTGAGGGGCCAGGCTGGTGTTGGTGGGCTGGCCTTGCCGCCATCCTGAGGGTGCTGCCAGCGGCTGGGGGTGGGAGGCCCTGTCAGCCCCTCAGCGTGGGACTGTGCCCCCACTGCCCCCTCGCAGCTTGTCCTGCACCAGGGGGTGCCCCCATCATCCCCTCACAGTTCCTGGTCCTGTGCCCCCATTATCCCTTTACAGCTTCTACTGCTCTGGTGCCCTCATCATCCCCTCACAGAGCTGCTGCTGTGCCCCCATTGCCCCCTCACAGCTCCCCCTGCTCTGAGCAGGAAAAACAGCTCCAAGCCTGTGGTCATTCTGGTAATGCCTGGCTTGGCACTGCCAGGGCTGTGGGGTGGGGAGGAATGGGGAAGGGGCTGTCGTGTTTGGGGGGTTATTGCCATGACTGCAGCTGATGGGGGGCTTGGTTTCTCCATGACTAAGGTTCTCCCCTTCTCCCAGGGCCGGTGAATGCTGCTGGTTGCCCTGCTCCTGCTGCTGTTGGTGCTGCTCATTCGGGCCACAATGTCCAACCATCTGTGCAAGGTGGAGGAGAAGCTGGAGCAGAACCCGGAGCAGCCCTCTGTAGCTGAGCCCTCATCCCAAGTGAGACCCCCGGACCCCCACCCACCGCCACAGGCTGCCAAGGCCATGGCCAGGGAGCAGGAGCAGCTGGCCGTGTACAACCCCACTGCCCTGCGCCGCTCATCCCTTGCCAAGTTTGTGCTGGGCTCCTTTGACGACAACTCCTCCGATGATGAGGTGGTGACCACGGCCTTCAAGGTGGGCCGGCGGCGCAGCAGCCTGGTCGGGGTAGGGGGCACCATCCCTGAGCCCCCCGCTGTGACCACCTCTCTGGAGCCCCACAGGGGCATCAGGTACAGGGCTGGGATGGGGAACGTGGTGGGGTGGCCAGGCTGGAGATGGTGGATGCATTTCTCAGGGAAGCTGGTACTAAAATTGAGGTGCACATGCTGCTTGGATCCCTCAAGTCAGTGCCCCCATCTGAACTCCCTTTGGGGCAGGACCCCAGGGAGACCCAGTGTCCCCGAGCACTGTGTGACAGCAGCCCATGTGCATGAGCATGGCAAGGAGCAGGGCAGGGAGTGCTTCCCCAAAGTCACTGTTTTGGATGTCAAATAACAGGATGGAAGGGCCCTAGTTCTGCTGCCAGGGTCGCTTTGCTTCTGCTATGGGGGGATGCTGGGACACTCCTGGTACTGTTATGTGTGGAAACACATCCCTGCAGGACTGGGGTACATGGGATGCTCCTGTGCTGTTCCTGCAGGTCTATGAAAGTAGCTCTTTGGTGTTTTGTGATGAATTGATGAGAAATAGATGAACATTTGTCAAATTCACAGTGACTTTTCCCAGTACTTCCCAGTACTGTGAGGGCTGTGGGGCAGCTCTCTGCTGGTCTGCACCAGGCAGCTCCCATGGGAACGCAGCTGACAGCCAGCAGGAACAACTGGAAACCAAGTTCTGCTGCCCAGCTCCTCCTGCTGCTCTGCTCGGGTTAAAAATAACACCCCTTTGGCTGTGGAGACGTGTTGTGACACTCAACAGCCTGGCAGTGGCTCTTGCTGTGCTGGGTTTGGGGTGGGCTCACAGAGCTGCTGGCGCTATCCCTGCTGCTTCTCTGTGCTTCCACATACAAGGAATGTCCTTACGTCCTGCCTGAGTCATGTTGTAGACAGAGCTGGTGTGTTTCTCGAGAGGGGACGGACTTTCTGGTGGGTTTGGGGCTGAGGGAGGGCAGATAAACGTGGCACTGCCCAATAGGGTGCTCCAGCTATTTGGAAAACACCCTGAGTGTAGGCAGACATTGGGACATTTGCCAACATCTCAGAGGCGTTTGACACATATCCCCTTAAAATAAATGTGCCAAGTGCTGCTTGTACAAAATCTTCTTGTCTGAGGGAGTTCCAGGGGTGGTCCTCCCTCCTTTAATTATAGCTCATCTATGGAATAACAGTGAAATACCTGGCTGAACTATGAGGGGAGATGTGAACCTGCTAATTAGAATTAGAAGTTGCCTGGCTGCACCCCTCAGAGGCTGGGTGCTTGTGCCATGGGGTCTGGAACATGCCCTGTTCACCCCAGAGGTGTGGCTGTGGGCTCACTGGGGTGGCTGTGGGGTCCTTGACAGCCATCACATCCCACCACAGGCCTAGCATGTCCGGAACAAACCTGCCAAAGCGGGGCCGCGAGCACAGGAAGATGGATCTGCAGCGGGACTTCTCCGTCGCCTCCCCAGCAGAGTTCGTCACCCGCTTTGGGGGCAACCGCGTCATCGAGAAGGTCTGTCCCCACACACCCTTGCCTGGGACTGGGCCAGAGGGTCGTTGTTTTTCACAGGGACACCCTTGAGCACTGCCCAAGTGTCCCATGTCCTTTGGGCTCAGACTGATGGCAGCCCAGGGCAGCCCAAAGCTGTTCATCCCCCAACTTCTCATGGGATGGGAGAGGGAACACCACACAGAGGCTTTGCCTGGTGGGCACAAACAATTGCCAGTGTCCCATCCTTGGTTATCCTTGTCCCCTTGCTGCCATCCCTGGGGGCCACACTCCCTGCACCCCAGCAGCAAGGAGAGGGTCCACCCTGACACCCCCTGTCCCATCCACAGGTCCTCATTGCCAACAACGGCATCGCTGCCGTGAAGTGCATGCGCTCCATCCGCCGCTGGGCGTACGAGATGTTCCGGAACGAGCGCGCCATCCGCTTCGTGGTCATGGTCACTCCTGAGGACCTCAAGGCTAACGCAGGTAATTCCTGAAACCATCCCAGCGGGGAAGTTCCCTGCCTGGGGCTGAGTGGGGGCAGCCCTTTCCTGCCTGGGTTGCAAGGGGTCTGCACAGCCCAGGGTCACACACTTTCCTCCTGTGCAGCCAAATCCAGGAGGAAATAATTATCCTCCCCTCCAGCCTCCCTGGGGTGGAGGATTTGGGGAGGGGTGCAGCTCAGGGGACTGGCTCCCACAGCCTCCACGTGCTGTCTTGCAGAATACATCAAGATGGCAGATCACTATGTGCCTGTCCCCGGCGGGACCAACAACAACAACTACGCCAACGTGGAGCTGATTGTGGACATTTCCAAACGGATCCCAGTCCAGGTAGTGGCCGCTCATGTGTCTCCCACCTCTGTGCCAAGGGAAGCTGCTGGGAAGAGGGGACACCCAAAAATGGGTGATGCCCTGCGTGCTGGGGAGCTGGGCCCAGCGTGTGGTCAATGGGAGATCCAGCACAGAGGTAACGCTCCCACTGCTCCTCCTCCGTGTGCCAGGCGGTGTGGGCTGGCTGGGGACACGCCTCGGAGAACCACAAGCTGCCAGATCTCCTGCAGAAAAACGGGATAGCTTTCCTAGGTAAGGTCTCACTGCTTCCCTGTGCTGGAGGGAGCAGCAGGTGTTGGGTTGGTGTGTGCACACATTCTCGCTACCAGGAATACTGCATTGGGAATGCCCCTTTGGTGCCTCTGGCATGCCCATCCTGCAGAGTGGCAGCCACCAGCCTAATTTCCTGAAACATTCCCAGGAATCCCACTATTTTATGAGTTTTCTCTGTAATTCTCAAGCTGATGCAGTGTTCATGGAGCAATGTTAGGCGGGAGTAAACCTTGTGTGATTTCTAACCAGGGACAGCCTGGGCTCCCCTTGGAGAAGGGTTGAGCTCCATCCTGAACTGGGCAGTGGGTTTGGGGGTGTCTCCCATGCCCCCACTCCTTGCAGGAGGGATGGTGGTGCTGACTCAGTGGGGAGCAGCTCCCTGCAGCCTCCATATGATGGGAATGGGCCTATAGGGTTGGGCTGACCCCTCACCACTTCCGTCCTCTCTGAAGGTCCCCCCAGTGATGCCATGTGGGCGCTGGGGGACAAAGTCGCCTCCACCATCGTGGCTCAGACGCTGGAGATCCCCACACTGCCATGGAGCGGGAGCGGTAAGAACCCCTCACAGCCCCCACATCCTCCCTGCTCCCCAATTCAGTCTCCGTGCCTTTCTTTGCCCCCCAAACAAGCATCAGGGTTGGGGTCCCTGGCCTGACTGGCTGCAGGTATTGGGGACCCCATTGCAGCTGCTGGTTTGGGCAGAGGGGTTTCTGGAGATGGGGTGCATGGAAATGGGGAATGGTGTGTGCCAGTGCAGAAATCCCAGCATTCTGGGCACAGGCACAATGCCCCATCAGCCATGCCACCCTGGGGGTGACCGTAGCTCTGGCCATGCCCACAGGTCTGATGGCCCAGTGGTCTGAGGAGGACCAGAAACATCAGCAGACGATCAGCATCCCTCTGGAGACGTACGCACAGGGCTGCGTGAAGGACCTGGAGGAAGGCCTGGAGGTAAAGCTGAGCCCAGGAGCAGCTGGTTGTCTCTTGCCCACCATGATTTCTCCTCAGAGCCTGCCTGCCCTGGC